GCGGGTGAGACGACGAGTGTGTGACCGACGCAGAAGAGAGTGCAGTGCAGTGTCGCGATTGAGAAGCTCGTTCGATAAGTCGTTTCAATTGAAAATTATCGAGGCTTAAGTAGAGTAAAGAACAACCGCAGACAGCACTAAGTGAAAGTGTGAGCAGTGACCTACGTTTGAGTGTGCGGAAGACAGATTTGTTCCAGTGGTATATGTTGGCTGTGGAAATGACGCAGTGACATATTGTGAAGATCACGATAGATGTGAGTACGAAATAGTGCAAGCCCCGTTTGATTTTTGTCATCCAGAGACTTGTTACACGTTCTTTTGCAGTTTTTATGCACTTCTCGTGTTTTGATAGATAAGTATCGTCGAGTTAGTGACTAAAAGTGACGGTTCACGTGTTATTGAGTTTCCTGCACGAGTCAGAGCACGTGAGTGAGCTCGCTAAAGCAGTTAGTACGCAGTACGCACTTAATGGAGAGAAATAACTGTTTCGCTGAGTCCATATGAAGATTGTTGTTACACTGCCCTTCAAGTGACATCTCGGTTTAATTCACCTTCAAGTTGATTTTATTTTTGAGACCGTTCATTCGTGAAAAGGTTGATACCAAGTCGAGTGCATACTTGAACTTGCACACTTTTATTGCACCCACGTCCAGACAACGCACACGAATTCATCGTTCTGTGAACTGGTATTTTTCTGATTTGCCAGTGACTGAACTGATAAACTGTGAATTGTGAGTGAACATTTGAGTGCTTATTCAACAAGTGAACAAAAGTGCTTATTCAAGGGTGAAATTTGATGGTATGTTTATGTTTGTTGGGTTCAAATGTGATTGTTTGAAGGTGATCTTTTGAGAATAGTGATAATTTGTTGGTATACAAATTGACCCATTGAAAATTATTTCATTTTGAAGTTCCATAAGGGATTTGTTATATCACAAGTGAAAGAGTTTTACATTTCAGTGTTGAGAGTTGTGGTGTGAACTCAAAAGACAACACAAAGACTGTAAATTTACTTTATTTTATTCTTTATTTAGACAAAAGACTTTATCAATCAAAAGGATTTTTTTTCTTTCTTGTACTTGTTTACAGTATATCTTTTCACTGATAGCTGCTAGGGAGTGGGGAGGTCTCGCTTTATTGAAATAGAAAATTTGATTGAAATTTGATCGCTTTATTTGATTGAAAAGACTTTATCAATCAAAAGGAAAATAAATTCTGTTTTAATTGTTTTTTTTTCTTGTACTTGTTTACAGTATATCTTTTCACTGATAGCTGCTAGGGAGTGGGGAGGTCTCGCTTACTTTATTATATCTGGGGAGGGAGGAGCATTACACACTGTGTTCTAACATATGCAATCTTTCTTCAGGAAGCCACCGCGCGACATTATCTTTATAATCTTACCTGAAGCCTACCCTTGTCGATCTTTAGATTTCTCGCACAATAAAGTAAGAAACACACACATTAGCGTGTAACGAGACTAAAACGTTTGGGGAGCGAGGACCAAGATCCTTCCGTTGTCCAAACTTCCAGAGCAGCTATAATCAATTTCCCTACATGACGGGCTAAATACCCCGTTACAAGAGCATATGGCGTAATTTAGATATTTTTTTTAAGATGGAAAAATGCGGTTCTACAGATACTAGACACATGACTTTCAAATGAGTGATTAGTCTCACAGAGCACACCCAGGCTCTTAACCGACGACAAAGACTTAACAGAGCAGCCATCGAGTGTTAGAGAGTATTCTAGGCTGTTACTTGTGGAAGTTTTTTGTCCAATAATTAGAATCTTTGTTTTTTCAAAATTAAGTAGTTGGAAATTAATAGTCATCCAATTTTTTATGTCTAAAATGCATTCCATTAATTTAGTGAGTTAGTAAGTTTCATTATGTTTTGAAGAAATATACAGCAGGGTATCATCAGCATAACAGTGAAACCTAATTCCATGTTTCCTAATGATATCTCTTAATGGTAGCATGTACAGAGTGAATAGCAGTGGTCCTAGTACCGAGCCTTGTGGTACGCCATACTGAACTTGTGATTGATAAGACATCTCTTCATTTATTGCTACAAACTGATAATGGTCAGGGCCCGGTTCCCCAAAAAGTTCTTATCGCTAAGTAGTTCTTAACCTATTCCTTAACCTCTCTCTTAACCTAATGCCATGGTTCTCGAAACGTTTGTACGTTAATTATATCTTCTGTAAGTCACACTTTCGTAAGGTTGGTCTGGATCATTCGTAAGCTCTCGTAAGTGTCGTTTGAGCTCAAGATGCTAGTCGCCACCACTGTGCAGCAGTCTTTAGACATCAGCGCAGCGCAGTAACTTGTACAAAAAACTATGGTTTGTTGACAATGTTGTGGCTCAACAATGATTTTATGTTATGGACATTTTAAGACTAATAATAAAATATGTTCGCAATTGATACAGGCCTATTTAAGTTGACTTTATTTGGTATCAGATTTAATATGGTGGTAATTAGCCTAGGCTATTTCATAATGTCATTAAAGTGTTTAAATTGGCAATCACTTTTGATAGGCTAATTAAAATCTGGTAGATAATTTGGTTCAAAATGGCTAAGATCTATAAATGGGTAAGCATGGTGGTGTCCAGTAACCGATTAAGACTCAGCGATTAACTATGGCAGCGATCCAACGTGTCCTTGTGTTGAATCAAAGACGACGCCGGCCGCGGAGCCGTTTATACATACATACATACATACATCTTCTTCCGCTCATCCGGGGCCGGGTCGCGGGGGCAGCAGTCTAAGCAGAGATGCCCAGACTTCCCTCTCCCTAGACACTTCCTCCAGCTCTTCTGGGGGGATACCGAGGCGTTCCCAGGCCAGCCGGGAGACATAGTCTCTCCAGCGTGTCCTAGGTCTTCCCCGGGGCCTCCGCCCAGTGGGACGTGCCCGGAACACCTCCCCAGGAAGGCGTCCAGGAGGCATCCGGAACAGATGCCCGAGCCACCTCAGCTGACCCCTCTCGATGTGGAGGAGCAGCGGCTCTACTCTGAGCTCCTCCTGAGTGACCGAGCTTCTCACCCTATCTCTAAGGGATCGCCCAGCCACCCTGCGGAGAAAGCTCATTTCAGCCGCCTGTATCCGGGATCTTGTCCTTTCGGTCATGACCCAAAGCTCATGACCATAGGTGAGAGTAGGAACGTAGATTGACTGGTAAATCGAGAGCTTTGCCTTACGGCTCAGCTCCTTCTTCACCACAACAGATCGGTACATCGACACCCTTTTCCTCAGCCGGAAAAGGGTGGCTTGCCCACTTCAGGTTGGTGGAGAGATCCTTCCTCAAGTGGAGGAGTTTAAGTATCTTGGGGTTTTGTTCACGAGTGAGGGAAGGATGGAACGGGAGATTGACAGACGGAGCCGTTTAGTCCATGTCAATTTTTTTATTCAGAAAAACTTAAGTCCTTTTGACATTTTGCCTGACGTGGCTATATTAAAAAAATTTCGCCTCCCAAGACGACTCATTATGGAGCTGCTGAACCTTCCAGGCTAACGCAGCGGAATTTTGCATTAAACCCTGAAGTCCAGCTTCTTGCAGCACTAAGGTTTTTTGCCACAGGGAGCGAGGTTGAGGGAGAGGGCTACGGCCTAAGCAAGACCTCGGTGTGGAGGTGCGTCCACACTGTCACCAACGCCCTTCTGTGCCATGCCGGGGATTATGTCCGGCTACCAGCAACACGTCAGGAGGTCCAGGAGGTGCACAGAGTCTTGGGCCTGGTGGATGGCACACTCATCCCTATCGCCAATCCATCAGTGATTGATCAGGCGTACATATCGCGAAAGTGATACGCTGCCATAAACGTGCAGGTTATAGTGGACCATAAGGGTGTGATCTCCAACCTGGTGGACAGGTGGCCAGGCAGCACCCACGACAGTTTCGTCTGGGCCAATTCTGCTGTGGGTGAACAAGCAGAGAGAGAGGAGTTTTGTCAGAGCCTGTTCCTCGGGGATAGTGGATACCCTCTGAGAACATATTTATTCACATCGCTGACCAACCCACAGACTCGGGCTGAAAGAGCCTACAATGTTGCACACGTTCGCACACACAATGTTGTCAAGTGTGCAATTGGCATCTGGAAGCTGCGCGGTCCCTGCACAAGTTGTCAGGAGGACTACGCATGAAGCCTCACAGTTCTTGCGCAGTTACGGTGGCAACGGCCATACTCCATAACATGGATGTGCGTGGAGGCGCACCGTTCCGGAAGGGGAGGAGGAGTAGGTGGAAGCGGATGAGGAGGAAGATGGAGAGGGAGAAGTTGAGGTCCTCTATCCTCCACAGAGGGCTGCCCTACATGCTGCCGGGGTTGAGGCAAGGCAGCTTTTGATTGCAAATGTTTTTGATTGATTTATATTTTCTTTTTGGATTAACTTGCTGAGCTATCATTAACCATCATCCATGACTGAATGGACTTTTCATTTGATTCGTTTTCGGATTTTTTTTGTTTTCTGAAAAATAAACGGGAGTTTCAAACATCCATTAAATGTTTTGTGTGTGATTCTAATCCTTTAAACCTTTACTCTATCATGCCATTGTGTCCATTTCTATGCAACGCCAATCATTGACATGCTTCTCTTAAGGTTGGCGAAGGAGCTCAGCCTACACGTTAGAATTTCTGAGTCAAAAGTTGACATATGCCCAAATTACCATGTCACATTGCTGATTTATCTTCATTAATTTATTGGGCATTGAACACAGGTCACATGGTTGTCAGAGGATTCCCTTTCCGCTGCTTTGCCTCATGCATAGCCTAACCCGTCGTCAAACACACCGATAATGTACATTACAAATTAATGTCTTTACGCAGCCTCTTCAAACGAGCCTTTATATCTGAATGTGCACTTAGATTGACACTGCTTAATTTCCTTGTGGATAAATAAGGTATATCATAGATAGAGCAAGATTTTATGTGTAGGTTTCCAATGACAATAGAGAATCAGTTGTTGACTCATTAAGAATGACATACAATCTTGTTGATGATCAAGCATTTTTAATGAAAATGCGCATACAAACACACACAGACACGGTCACTGGTGTGACTGTTGCTCAGCATCTATAAAGACAAACACATACCAAAATCAGATTAGGAACTGTGAGGAAAGGAACATCAAAATCTATAAACCAAGAAGAACTGGCTCACCTTCAGATGGCAGCAAGATTGGTACTGAGATTGGGGCCTGTTGAATTGTGCCTCTGCTAGGGCATGCTGCTGCTTGGCCAGTTCCAGCTTGGCTCTCTTCAGCTCCAGAGACTGGCGAGAGAGCTCATTTGCTACGGTCAACTGGCGCTGAATGTCCTGTAACACGACCAACTTCTCCTTTTCAATGTTCACCAACTCTTCACTACACCGACATGGTGAGATTGTGGAGCGACGTCGTGATGTCGTGTAGCGATGTATGGCGTTCCGATAGGCTCTTAAATATAACTTTGCAACATGCACTCGTCTCAATGAACGTGACGTCTGCGTCTGCCAAACGTGACGTCTGCGTCTGCCGAACGCCTCGTCTGCGTCTGCCACATCACTCGTTCGCCTGCCGAACGTCTCGTCTGCGTCTGCCGAACGTGACGTCTGCGTCTACTGCGGGGGAAAAATAGCTCATAAGGAATGCATAGGCCTACTGCTCTTCAATTATGTTTGTTTATAAATTAAGTGTTTTTACCTTGCTTATACATATATTTTTTTTCAAATAGTAGCCTAAATATTAATTCACACAAATTATCTTATTAAAACTTTTGTTTGACAATGTTTCTTGTCAATATTCCCAAAGAACAAGATGTTATTTCATCATGTATACCCTATTTGAGAAATGTAAGCATATACGGCATTTATTTTAAAACAATGAAAAGGGTAATCTAAGACATAAGGACATGGGTGACCCTGATATTTACGGAAATCCGTCGTACTCCCATAGCAACGCATAACTTGAATCCCTGAATTTAAAGTGTATCACTGAAATCACTGAATATTACATACATTAAATATATTGTCTCACATTTTTAAATATATGAAAATGTCTTATGTAATATGCAATATATTGTACTAACACCTTATAATTCTGTATATTTTCAAATATAATGTTAAACCATGCAGTGTTTCTCAAAGTGTGGGGCGCGCCCCACTGGTGGGGAATAGAAACATGACAATTGGGGCGCAACAAACGGGAGAAAATGTGGTTATTTTTTTTGTCCATCTCTATTAATTCCTTTATATATTGAGCGTAAACTCAAAACAAAACAACGACATAAAGACTATACATTTTATTTTAATATTGAATAATTGTTTCTATAAGAACGCTTGAAATGTATTTTTATTGAATTGTTTCATTTAAAGACATTTCAGGCTTTAGAAAGCTTGAAATGTCTTTAAACGAAACAGTTCAAAACTAAAATAAATAGATTACTTTTTAGGCTAAGCCTATTTCTCATAGTTTTGTTTCATTTATGACGAGATGTGTTTAGTTAACGAGTTACCGCGGCCGCGTGCAACTCCATGCTTATGGCTGTCTGTTATATTTGCTTTATTTATTAAATCCAGGCAATTGGTTGATGAAAAATTTATTAAAATGAATACAATTTAGGCTATACAAAACGAAATTGACTTTAAATAAAGCCTTTCTTCTAAAAAAACTTAATGAAGTGGTCAAAATCATCTCTGTCGACCCACGTCTCTCGATATATATTGCCTACAGTATCTATTTTCATAATCACAGATGGAAAAAAAATAACATTATAACAAATACGAAACTAAATGCGCTTATTTAATGGCTACTTGCAGACTCTTTTTTATTAGAAATGGCTACTCATTTATTTAATTCTGAAGTTTACAAACAAGTTGAAAGGCATTCTTTTGTAATATCTGCAACATTTATCAAGTACACAGATAATTTTGCATGCATTTCTAAATCATTATGGTAAATAAAGTAATAAATAAAATAATAAAACAATAAAGTAATAAATAAATAAAAATGAACGCAACTCATTTAATTACACGTTATTAAGCATTTTACTCCCATAAAAAAATCATTAAAAGAACGTTTAAAGTGGTTTAATGCAGATTAGACCAGGTTTGTGTGTGGACCAACCCCTGTGGACTATTTAATCAAGAATTTTTGCATTCAGTCTGGTTGAAGTCCCCATTAAGATAGAAAAACATGAACACAATCACAGACGCAGACGTGACGTTATAAGACAGACGCAAGTGCCACGTTTATTGAGACGAGTGCATGTTGCAAAGTCATATTAAAGAGCCGATCAGAACGCACGATACACTCGCTACACTGAGCCGTGCTGTACTGTGGATAGCGTGTTAAATTCGTGTAACAATAAATATCTTCACTGCCACACGTGAATGACGCGTGACGTCTGACTCGACACTTCACTGCCACGCGTGATTTGCTTGACGTCAGCGTCACGTCAGCGTCACGTCTGCGTCATAAGTTGAATAGAAATAAATAGCAGAATAAAAATAAAAAAAGACGTTGAATGAGACGTTCATTGAGACGAGTGCATGTTGCAAAGTTATATTAAAGAGCCTATCGGAACACCATAGCGAAGTCCTGGCAAAGACGTGTGTAAGGGAGGTAGTGGCGTAGTGCACCCTTCCGGCTCGGGGCTGCCAGGAGAGTGCTGCAGGTGGCTCGGTGTCTGGGGAGCATGGCACATTGGGGGAAGGCGATGACCTGGAACATGAGGCCTGTTCACCTCTTCTAACGTCAATCCCCCCAGGGATTCCATGTAAGACTATGTCTCCCATGATCGCCAGTGCCTTCTCCTCAAGTGCTGTTAAGGGTTGCACTGAACTAGTCCCCGCACCTGTCCTCGCCCGGTCTCTAAGGACAGCAGAACCTCTCACCTTAACCTGGCTTGAAAAATCATGCCATTTTTTCTTTACATCCTGCCGGGACCTTGGTGTGCCTGATCCGGGGGCAGCCATCGTCCTTGCTATGTTGCTCCATAGCTCTTGGGGTAAATTGTTTTGAAAACGTCCAATGTTGTAAAATGGCAACCGGAATTCGACCCAAAGTGTGTTGCACAATTCCTGTCAGATTCAATAGAGATGGCACAGCACCGTTCTTTACTCTTAATCGGTCTGCAAATCCAGTCTTGTTTACAAAACAATCCTCAGTGAAATGAAGTGAACAGATGGACGATGTTTTACCCTCATCAGCTGGAACATCATTAAAAATAAAGTTTATCTATGCAGTCCTATTGGAATCCAGAGGGAGCATATGCAGCCACTGTCTTCTTCCACAACCAGGCACTGCACAATATTTTGTATTGCTCGGTAGCTCGATCCGGATTGTCATCACGGGGTAGGCATTTATGTTATTTAGATCTGCGTGGAATGCGCGAATTGGTAGGTGGGGCTAAACCGGCCGTGTTGAAGTAGGTGTTGATCTTCTCCTGCAGGGGTGGTGTTTTATCCTCTTTGACGTCATAGTTCCCCACTTTGAAAAACGAGTCTTTTGCTGAGGCTGGTGTCAATAAAAGCAAAATAAAATAATATTGGACTAACAAGGATGTTTTCTCAGGATGTCTGAAACTTACAGGATATTTCTTATCATATGATGACCTCTTAGATGTCAAAAGCTCAAGGAAAATTTGATTTCTCAGTTCATCACCCCTTTAATTAAATATTTAAGTCTTGTTCTTATAAGTGAAAATAAATAAATTGTATTATTAATTAGTGCATATATATATATATATATATATACTGTATGTTTCTTGTATCAAAAGATGACTAGTCTATCTAAAGGAGTTTTGTGAGTTAATAAGGACAATGTAAAATATATTACAATTGCCCCCGGTCTCCCCTACATCTACCTGATAGTCTGCTAGCATGCCAATTGGATGTTTCAAATAATGTTGTGTGTACTTAGCATGACAATTATTTTTTTTATTTTTTTTTAATGTATAGTATTCTTATATTATACACGATACCACACTTAATGTAAATTTTACATAATAAATTACTTTTACCGAACGTATGTTGCTACAATGTTGCTTTTTTTTTTTCTTATTAAAAAATACATTGCTAAAAATAGTTGTTTTATTATGGAATTATTAAGCATTCATTTAATATTTCAAGCATGTTTTTTGTGCACTTAATTTAATAAACATCATACAATAGTTAAATAGGTTATACTTAGGCAAGACATTGCAATAACTTTTTATCAGGCATTAGCCTACCTAAAAGAGACCCATTCAATCAGTTCATCAACCTTGTTGGCTAAGGACTGATTTTATTTTTATTGGGAGAATGCTAAATCAGGCAACTTGAAATAAGCTGCCTGGACAGGACTGAAGTAAATCTTCATATCTCTTAACTAACTCTCACATTTTGCATTATAACAATACTTGCCATCAAACTTGAAAAGTTTATATTAAAGTCAACTTCAGCTGCAGTTTGGAGGAGTTCAGATGGTAGTGGTACATTAGCAAACTCTTTAGCAGATATTTAAAGTTTCAATCTTTATCCAAAATCGAACATTTTTGGGAAGATTATAGAGTTTGTATAATCTCAACCATGATACAGATTTTAGTTATCTTGTATCTATCTATCTATCTATCTATCTATCTATCTATGAAGGTTATAGTTCTGGAATTGGTTTCCGCAAGTAGAGGGCGCTCGTGCAAGCAATGAGACACATACCGAGTGTAGGAGAAGAAGAGAAGTGATAGGCATAATATATATGATCGAGGAAAGGGGACAACAAAGTGTATCACAGCCCCTTCATACTTCTGTATAATCTGCTGTGTTTTTTTAGACTGTGAGTAGGCTACATTTATTTTTATAATTTATTAGGAGAAATCTAAATCTAAACGAGTCAGTTAATTTAGCGAATCATTCAGAAATTAATCGAAATGAACCGACTTGGCTCGTAAAAACGAAACGTAAAGTTAGTTAAACCAGAGCCCGTTCTCTGGTTAAACTCGTTTCTGACTGTTTTTTTTTTCACATTAAATCTGTAAAGATTATGAGTTGAGTTTTCATTTTATTTAATGAACAAAAGAAACGTGGTAAACAGTAAATGCATGTAAATAATATATCTAATGTTTGAGCAACATAAAAATCACAGTCGAATTGTTTCTAAACATTGAGTTCTTTATGGGAATATTACCCATTATTTAAACTTTCATCTTGCCACAGGAGAAGCAAGCAGGAGAAACTACTGACATACTACTTTAAAGATGGAGTTTGAGGAAGAACCCTCCAGAATAAAAGATGAAGATACAGAGGAACAAATAGGTTGGTGTTTTCCTTAATTTTCATTAAAGGGGTCATGACATGTTTTTTTTGTTTTGTTTTATTATGTTCCCTTAGGTGCAATTATAGTATTACTGTAGTTTTTTGTGCAATTTTTTTTTTAAAAAATATGTAGTGATTTAAGACATTTTCACACCCTGTTTCTCACCTCTGATTCAAACAGTCTGTTTTGGGGTGTTTCCCCTTTAAGGCTGTATTTACACTGCAGGTCTTGATGCCCAAATCCGATTTTCTGACTATATCTGATTTTTTTGACGACCTGCTTACATCATCTTTTAAAAGTGACCCATATCTGATTTTTGCATTCACTGCTGAAACTACCAAATGCAGACGTTCTGATGGTTCTGAACCGGGAAATTAAGCAAAACAGCACGAAATTCAATGAATGCAGATGCGAATAAATTTTTTTCTTTCCACAATATTTCAATAAGTCATCAAAACATCGGTCTCGTATGGCGGAGAAAAAAGGAGAGGCTCTGGCCATGAGCACTTAAAACGATGCCTCATATCTCGTCAAATGTCTTGAAAAACGGATTTATTTCTGTAACAACCCTGCATTTTTGCCTGCACTCTTCACCCCAAACACTCAAGACATGAAACCTCCGCATTGCTCCACTGTGTGTATCCTTTCTTCCATCGCGCGGCTCGCGCCTATAATCGCACAGTTTTTAATGACGCATGACTCGCATTTACTAGGGATGTCCCGATACCACTTTTTCACTTCCGATACCGATACCGATGCCGCACCTTTGGCTTTTGCCGATACCGATATTAGTCCGATATTTTTTTTTCCGTGGTCCGACGTGCCGTATACGGCCCACAGGGTGGTTTATAGGTTTAACTTTGTGAAAGACAAAACAAAAAAAACACAAAAGTAAACATAATACATATCTTTGGAAAGCTGAGAAACTCGTGATTCGAACGACGTAAACCATTTTAAGATACAATCAACACAGCGGGCACAATCTGTCTCTTTGTCAGACCACCAACAGCCAAAACAAACCAACACAAACTGGAAGAAACTCACCAATTAGCCATCTGTTAGTCCACATTCCAACAAAAATGGTTTGGTTTCACTGTAAAGCGTCCATACAATCCAATTTAAAGAAGTTTTTAGTCCAAAACAATTGTATATATGAATAAACATCCATGGATTGTAAATAGTAGGCTAGCATTTCGCGTTAGCCGACAACGCTATCACAACTTCGACGCACTAATGCTACGTTCACACCGGACGCGAATAGGGCGTCAGGCGCGAATGATTTCAATGTTAAGTCAATGCAAGAAAAATTCCTGCGGCGCGAATGAGGCGTGGAGCGCGGCGCGGAAGACGCGAATACGCCTCATTCGCGCGTCAAGTTGGCGCGAATGGCGCGAATTGAGCGTTGTGCATTCACGCGTTTGACGCGAATTCGCGTCTGCCGCCCGAGTTGAAAAATCTGAACTTTGGCGTGAATTCGCGCCGCGATAACCAATCAGGAGCCTAGCTGCTTGCTCACGTGGTGAAGTGTCTGGATGCTTCAATAAATTATTTTGTTAATATGACTAAATGCATGGTGGGATTATGCACAACAAAGCAAATGTTTCATCACTTAAAACATTATTTCTATATGGAGACATGTTCATTTTGTATTGAATGTTATTCATTCCATATCTAGAAATAGTATTATGTTGTAAAGACAGACATCCCAAGTCTCCCGGAAGTTCCGGGAGTCTCCCGCATATTGATAGCGTCTCCCTGATGCCCGCAAATTAGTTCAAATCTCCCGGAATCTAGAGCGAGACATACTGCGCGCATAACATACATAGCGCGCTATATATATATCAACATATGTGCATAAATTCGTGTCTGGACGTGAGAGAGAGAAAAAAAATCACAGGACAGGTTAATAACTTTTGAAGGCTGGCTCTATTTATTATCAAAACAAAAATAAATGACAGCTAGATTAGATGGATGAGGGGCCGGGCGAGGGTGATCCTCGCTCAGATGCGGGACAACAGGTCATCAAACTGGGCGCGTGACAGGCGGAAGTACCGCTGACAGCGGCCGTCATCCAGCGCAGCTCCTGGAGCGAGCAAATGGTGAAACTCGCCAAACGGTTCGGCTCCGAAGGGTCCGGTGGACACAAATATACGGCGACGATGATCCCCACGCCGCTGTTCTGCTATCCAGAGTAAATACAGAGCGGTAACTCTCTTGATGAATGCTCGGTCGACATAAAAACAATGACTGCCAACGGATTTTGATTCTGACGCGCGTCACGCGCGTAAATTTCGCTTCAAACGCGCGCCAGTTTCGCTCTCTCTTTGAGTGACAGTTTATCTATCCAGTTGCAATAGAGAATGAAATGACGCTATTTTCTGATAGCCAATGAATTTCTGAAAAGACTGAAATGCAGCTTTTGTGGAATCATCCGATTACATTAGAAACCGTGCGCAAAAGCGAGAGTGATTCTCTGCGCGCGTGTGCTTAAACACAACAATCATCACGTGACAGGCTGCGCCGCTAAACTGGATATCGCTCATATTTTTTTCTCCCCTCCGATCTCCGATCTAGCGTTCTGGGCCGGTATCGGCGCGATACCGATGCCGTGGATCGGATCGGGACATCCCTAGCATTTACTGGGGAATATCCGATTTGTCTGCTTACATGGCACACGCAAATGCACGTATCTGATTCATATCCGATTTATTACCACATATGAATGAGGCCTGAATCTGAGAAAATCGGAATCCATGCGTTTTTTTCCTGCTTACACGTTCACCGGTCATATCCGATCTGTGCCACATGAGAGGAAAAAATCGGATTTGGGTCACTTGAACCATGCAGTGTAAACGAGGCCTAAGACTTCAGTGTTACCGCCTATAGACCTTATTCAGAGCAGCGCCATGACAGGTATGAAAGGTATTTTTTTTAGTGTTTCATGAGCAGAAAAATCCGAAAACACATTAAATAACAGTACAGCCCATTGAAGAGATGCTATCCCTCACGGCCTCGCTTTCATTCTCATTAAAAATCAAAGATGGCGCTGCCGTGAATAAGGCGAATACTGTTATGATTGGCCACGTCAGTGCTGCTTATGCATAAATTATGTTAATCATTTTATATCACATGTAGGCTACACAATGCTGCACCACGTGAAACTTCGGTCTTCCAATCTTTTACCATCGTGTCAATTCTCAATTGATTTTTTTCATATGCGCGAGGGAGGGAGGGAGAGAGAGCAAGACAGTTTGAAGGCGCATGCACGGCTCGCTCGCTCTCTGCTGCACGTTCTTTCAGTAACATGCGCCCTGTCACACTCATCTCTCTCACCGTTCAAATAAAGCTTTGGCGCGCTGCATATGCTGCAAATAAACTGCATCCGACTGCTTTCCCTGACGTCTGAATCATTCGGCAGCGTATTCAAACATGTTGTTTGTCCACAGCAGCAACAGCACATCTGCGTGGCATCACAGTCATCTTGTAAACAGACCCACTCGCTGCATGACAACGCATGCGATGATGCGAAATGAGGCGTAGTTGTCATATGCAAACGACTGGTACGTCACTTCGTACCGCGACGTCACTTCGCACCATGGATCTAGAACGAGCTGTATTTAGAGCTTGATTAAATAAATGGTTCGTTTATAATCGGGAGGACATCTTAAGCTATGAAACTTGCAGGAAGTTTTAATAGTACATAGATCTCTTATATACCAAAAGATCAAGGCAAATTTGGTTTCTCATGTCATGACCCCTTTAATGACTGATAGGGAATATTAAGGGTGTATTACTCACACTGGGAGCAATTGTCCCTGATTGAGCTGTTCGAGTTAATAGAAAAAAGTAATAGAAAATGTTTGGGGCATGGTACAGAACGATCACACAAAGCTAAAAGAACCAGATTTTGGAGGTCAAACATGTCCGCGCACGGTCAGATCTTGCCTAGTGTGCGAACACCCTAAAATGAAAACTGATACTTCTGAGACCCAGGCATAGCCTTTTATTCTCTGTAGAGGACATATTTTAACAAATTTCTGTGAGACCATAAATTTCACCGTTTTAAAAGTATTGTTGTAATGTACAGAGCAAATGCAGGGCTTTTCAGAGATATCAAATGTTTGGAGGTTTCGCCCTGACAACTCCCTCTCCTGGTGTCACATTTTTTGCACTAAAGGAAATCTGATAATATTTTGTAACTAGAATTTAAAATTAAGTAATTTTCAAATTGTTTGTCAAAAATAAATATCTATAAAACATTATGGGGTTTAAAATTTGAACATGACTTTCTGTTGTGAAACAGGGCATTGATTTTATACTGTGGAAGACACCCGAAAATAGTCATATAACCATTGCAATAACTCTGAAGCTATACAGTTAAGGTAAAAAAAAAAAAAAAAAACTGCATAAAGCTGCTTTAATAACTAGCCTAAGTACTAGTGTCCTATACAGAGGACATAGCATAAAATGTTAACCATTTTGTTTTGTTTGCTCCAAATAATGTAATGCCATAAAAAAACAAACTAGTTCTGGTTCTCAGGAGAATATATCAATACATCTCAAACTAGATATAGATTAAAATAGACTATAGACTAAAATAGATATAGAAATAGACTCAGTTGTCAACTAGAATTGTGCTAAATTTAGAATGAACTTTATTTCTTTGTTTCTCATTTGTCCTTTTTTAATTGAATTTTGGGAATTGCATATGTTGATTTCAGACCTGATCGAAGTGAATGAAGGCATACACCATAATTTCACAAATGAAGATGTAAAACCGACATATAAAAATGAAGACAAACTACATCTGTTTCAAAAACCTCATCATTTAAAAAATGAAGATGGAAATACAGCTGTTTTAAAGAACGAAGAGGATATCACACAAAAACAAGCTGGACAATCTGGAGTCAAAGCATCTTTCACCTGCTCTGAGTGTGGAAAGAGTTACAGACATAAAGGACACTTAAAGGATCATGTGAGAATTCACAATGGAGAAAAACCGTTCACATGCACTCTGTGTGGAAAAAGTTTTACATCTAAAAGTTCTCTCAACACTCATCTGCGCCGTCACTCTGGAGTGAGATCATTCAGCTGTGATCAGTGTGATAAAACATTTGTTGTGGCATCAAATTTAAGAGAACACCTTAAAGTTCATACTGGTGTAAAGCCTCACTTTTGTTCGTCATGTGGAAAGAGATTTACACATCTGCACTCTTTAAAAGAGCATGAGCGTTTGCATACTGGTGTGAGCCCTCATATGTGCTTTGATTGTGGGAAGAGCTTTACTACATCAGGCAACTTAAAAACACACCAGATAATTCATACTGGAGAGAAACCGTTCAAGTGCTCACACTGTGGAAAGAGTTTCTCATACTCAACATCCTTGAAAAGACACCAGAGAGTTCATACCGGAGAGAAGCCGCACCACTGCTCATCATGTGGGAAGAGTTTCACCCAGTTATCTAATCTACGGACTCATGAGAAAAAGTGTTGCTCGAAGTTGCATAAAATAAGCAAAGTTCATGTTCAGATCCATCACTTTCAAATTAATAGTTTGATATTCTTATAAATCAAAAGATGAGATTTCATGCGACCTCATCTGAGAGAATGTTTTTTTTTTTTATTATATAGAGGGTTGGTGAAGATTGTTGGAATTTGGGTGGTCAAAATGCTCAAATTTTAGATGGAAATACTCTTTTTGTTAATGTTAGGGAGTAGTGAACCTAATTATCTTCATGAATATTCTTTACAAATTAATTTTGTTATCCTGGCTGTCTTTATCATTCATTTTATATATGTATGTATATATATATATATATATATATATATATATATATATATGTATGTATGTATATATATATATATATATATATTTTTTTTTTTATTAAGGAATCAATATAAAAAAAGAGTACAAGTAAACAAACATAACAGTAAGAGGAAAAACAAACAAACAAACAAATGAACATAGAAACAAACAAAATAATAATACAAAAGGAGAAAAGTGAGCCAACGTATACAAATATACAATCAAAATCGACAGATGGCAATACTGCTTCTATATCTCTCTTACCTACATGTATAAACCCATACACGTGCATACATATTCATACACACATATCTGCATGTATACACACATACCCATTTATCCATACACACATACATATACATAGACATACATTCATATATATATACATACATAGCTACATATACACATACACAAAAAAAATAAATAAAAATAAATAATTAAATAGAAAAAAATAATAATAAAAAATAAGGGGGGATAAAAAATAATAATAATAATAATAATAAAAAATTAAAAATAATTAATAAATAAAATAAAATAAAAAAAGGTACAAAGATTATACAAACAAAACAACAAAAACAAAGGGGAAGAAAAATAGAAATTAAAAATAGGGAGGATGAAGAGTTAAAATGGCTATTGCATATTGATTTCACTTGAGTTTGCAGTTGCACCTTGCTCTCCTGAATGGTTTTTTTTTTCCTCCCTTTTTTCTCCTCCTCTCCTTTCTTTTAACACCAACGCACAATGGCTGGACCCTCCGGATCATTTGTGCATGACCCGGCTGCGTCTCTGCCTGCACATGGTTAAGACTTTAAGACTGAAGTGTCTGAGAGGAGTTTACCAAACCACATTGGCCGGACCTTCCGGATCACTGGAACATGATCCGGTCGTGTCTCTGCCCGTGCTTGGATATAGTCCAATTATTATTGTTGTTATTACTTTTAAATGACCACTGGTTGTAGTCTTGAGTTATGCATTTTTAGCCAGGTGTAAAAGGGAGGGGGAGGGGGGGAGAAAAAAATAATAAAAATAAATAAAAGAGAGAGAAAAAAAAAATGTATACATGTATATATATTCGTCACGCACATACCCGTATTTACACACACCCACACACTAACACATACATATACACACACATACATACACACGAGCCTGTATACATGTACACTGGTATAAACACTCATATACACACATTTAATAATAATTGATGACATACTTATAAGCTAGACGTGTGTGGATCATGCCTTAAAAGACCTTCACACAATTCATACATCAATAATTAAATGTCATTCAAAATAAATACGATATACATTGGCCCACGAACATACACATAATGAAGCCTAGACATATATACCGACGTTCATACGCATAACATCACTTACACCCACCTACAGACCTTAGGAAATTTAATAATAGCAAGATTTAAATACATAACAAGAAGAATATTTAGAAGCATAATAAGAGGTATTAACATAAATTATATTATTAGGCCTACGCACACGCCCTACACATACGCGATGTGTTAACTAATACAATGCAAGATTAAAATGTTACCACGTTACAATACCACGAGTATGTCACATGTCTTTAATCCAACTACCCATTCCATGCTATGTTAACTCAAATTTAAAGTATATTCATTGGGTATTCGATAGTATTAATATGCATGGTATGCGTCTCATATATTTAACATAGGTAACTGGTGAGGCTCTAATTCACCTATCAGGGCATATTAATGTTTAATGATTCTGAAATGGAACCAAACATTTGTTTGAATTTAGTTAATTTGTGTTTAAGGGTCGCCGTCTGTTTTTCTTTAGTAATATGATCTGTTAATAAGTGCTGCCATTGAATAATACTGATTCTGCTTTTATTTTTCCAGTCAATTAGGACAATTTTCTTGGCGATAACTAGAGACAGAAGTAAGGGTGATGCATGTACCAGTGGAGGGTTTATTTTTGATGTGTCTCCTAGAAGACATAATGACGGGTTTGCCGGGATATTACATTTAAGATATTCAGATAGTTTACCAGTAATCTCTCTCCAAAATTTAATAACTGGGGGGCAAGACCAGATAGCATGAAAATAATCGTCTTGTACATTTAGATTGCAGTGTTCGCATTTGTTTGATTTTGACAGTCCCATTTTAAACAGTTTATGTTGGGTTAGGTGTGTTCTGTATATTACTTTAAATTGAATTAATTGTACATTGGTATTTCTACTAATCTTAAATGTATTTAAGCTAACTTCTTTCCAAAATTCGGCATCTGTGATTATGTTGAGATCATTTTCCCATTGTTTAATAGGTATTGAATATGTTGTATCTGTATTTATTAGTATAGTGTATAATTTGGATAATAATTTTTTTGTGTTGCTGATTTGTTTTATTTTTTCAATAAGAGGTGGAGATTTAGGAAGAAGGTTGCCAATCTTAAATCTGATATCATGATTAATTTGTATGTAATAAAAGTACTGATCTTTCCCTAGGTTATATTTTTCCGTCAACTCTGAAAAGTGTTTGAATTTATTATTTAGAAATACATTATGCAAATGTGTGATGCCTGCAGTTTTCCATTTTTCATTACTAAGTGTAGATTTATTAATAGTAAAATCTGGGTTATGCCATATAGGAGAGAGGGAGTGCGGTGTTATTGAATTATGAATTATATTATTACTTTTCCACCATGCTAATAATGTTGTACGAATTGTCATATTATTGTATAGATCATGGGCCTTATTAACCTCAGTAATATGTGGTAAATCAGATAATGAAATCTTTTTACAATCTGCCTGTTCTAAGTCTAACCACGAGTTGTGAATATGATTGCCATTTATCCATTTGTAGAGATATTGTAATTGTGCAGCTAGATAATAATAGTAAAAGTTGGGTGCCCCTAATCCTCCCATCTCTTTATTTTTCTGTAATGTAGCGATGCTTATTCTTGGTTTTTTGTTTTTCCAATAGAATTTATTTATTCTTGTATTTAATGTGTCTAGCCATTTCTTAGTGGGTTGAATTGGTATCATTGTAAATAGGTAATTAATTTTGGGTAATATGATCATTTTTATTGTAGAAATTCTTCCTATAAGGGATAATGGCAAATTCATCCAACGTTTTAAATCATCTTCTACATTTTTCAGTAATGGAATGAAATTAAGTTTAAATAAGTCAGGTAAATTGGGAGAGATATGTATTCCCAGGTATGTGATATTACCTATATTAAATGGAGTATTTAGGTTTTTTACATACTGCAATGTTTTATTTATGGGCAGAATTGTAGATTTGGACCAGTTTATAGAGTAATCTGATATTTTCGAAAAATTATTAATGACATTGGTAACTTCTACGAGAGATTTTTCTGGTTTTTGTAAATACAATAAAATATCATCAGCATATAATGAGATTTTATGAGTGATTTTATCCGTTGAGTATCCCGTGATATTATCGTTTTGTCTTATTGCGGCTGCTAAGGGCTCTATGAATATTGCAAAAAGGAGTGGAGAGAGTGGACATCCTTGTCTGGTCCCTCGTTGCAACTGGAATGATGGTGATATGATGTCGTTAGTGATGACTGAAGCCTTCGGTGTACTATACAATGTTCTAATCCAGTGAACGAATGACTCTCCAAAACCGAATTTATCTAACGCGGCAAAAAGAAAATTCCAATTGACTTTGTCAAACGCTTTTTCCGCATCTAATGACACAATAATTGTAGTATTTTGTGTTTTATTGTTATTCATTATATTGAATAAGCGACGTATGTTGTCTGATGAATGACGTCCTTTAATAAATCCCGTTTGGTCTGGATGAATAAGACTTGAGATGACTGTTTCTAACCGTGAGGCTAGGGTTTTACTAATTATTTTCATGTCAGTATTGATCAGGGATATGGGTCTATAGCTTGTGCATAATGTTGGGTCTTTATTTGGTTTTAGTAAAACAGAAATTAATGCCGTGTTCATATGTGGTGGGATAGATGAGCTGTTTTTTTAATGTCTGCTGACATTTCTAAAAACTGTGGTGAAATAGTTGACCAAAAATGTTTATAAAATTCTGGGGGGAAGCCATCTAAACCTGGTGATTTATTATTTGGTAATGCAAAGAGAGCTTTCTTGTATTCATCCTCTGTTATTGGTTTTTCTAATTCTTCTTTCTGTGCTAGGCTTAATTTGGAGAGTGTTATATTGTTATTGTTATGTTATATTGTTATTGTTATGTTATATTGTTGGAGAGTGTTACATTATTTTGTAAAATGTTTGAAAAGTTGTATTGATATCTTGCAGGTTATGAATTATTTTATTCTCGTTTTTAATTGTAGATATATGGGTTTTTTCCTTATTACGTTTCAGCAAATTGGCTAAATATTTTCCTGATTTGTCCTTATATTCGAAATGTATTAACCTTAAACGTTGTTTATAAAATTCTATTTTTTTATTTGTAATACTGTCAAGTTGATTCTTTGTTTGATTTATTTCATTTAATATTTGTTCATTTTGGTTTTGTGAGTAAGTTTGGTGTAATATTTTTATTTTATCTTCCAGATCTTTTTCTAATTTTTTATCTTTTTTATGTTTATACGTAGAGTATGATATAATATTTCCTCTCATTACTACTTTGGCTGTCTCCCATAAAGTTGTAGCGGATATATCAGGGGTTTTATTTATGCTAATGAAAGATTTCACTCTCTTATAAAATATTCATTAAATTCTGGGTCTTGCAGTAGTGATGTGTTCATTCGCCATCTATGTGAGTTTTTTTCGTTTCTGTTGTTATAAAGAGTAAGAGTATTGGAGCATGATCTGAAATTATAATGGGTTCAATCGTTGTGTTTAAAATATTGGACATAATGGAATTACTTGTTAAGAAAAAATCTATACGAGACTATGATTTATGCACTGGAGAGAAGTATGTATATTCTTTTGTTGTAGGATTTTTCTGTCTCCAGTTATCGCCAAGTCCAAAATCCGTCATATATTGTTTTATAATTTCTGTAGAGTGCCAGGTTTTCATATAATTTGAGGTGTTAGATTAATCTAGTATTGGA